TTTATGGGCCTACCTCAAGACACAAGAAAAATCCCAACAACCTAAAATTTCATAGTAAACAACTAGAAAAAGGGCAAATGAAACCCAAAGTCAGCAGAAGGAAGCAAATAATAAAAAATGAGAGAGGAATTAAATGAAATAGAGAACAAAAGGACAATAAAAAATATTAATGCAATCAAGAGCTGGTTCTTTAAAAAGATTAATACAATTGACAAACCCCTGGCTAGGACCACTAAGGAAAAAAGAGAAAAGACACAAATAAACAAAATCAGAAATGAAAGTGGAGAAGTTACGATGGATACCAGAGAAATACAAAGGACCATACAAGAATACTATGAAAGACTATATGTCACCAAATTCAATGACCTAGAAAAAATGGACAAGTTCTTAGAAACATATGAGTATGACCTTCCTAGAGTGAATCACGAAGAACTGGAAAATCTAAACAGACCGATCAACAGCAAGGACATTGAAACAATCAACAAAAACCTCCCCAAAAGCAAAAGTCTAGGACCAGATGACTTCACTAGTAAATTCTACCAAACATTCTACCAAAAATATCTGTCCTTCTCAAACTCTTCAAAATATTTAAAGGGGCAATACTCCCTAACTCACTTTATGAGGCCAACGTTACCCTGATACCAAAACTTGTTTAAGGATAACACAAAAAAAGAAAACTGCAGACCAGTATCTCTGATGAATACATATGCAAAAATCTTAAACAAAATTCTAGCAAATCGAAGACAACACATTAAAAAGATTACAAATCACAATCAAGTGGGGTTCATTCCAGGGGCATAAGGATGGTTCAACATATGCAGATCGATCAATGTGATACACCACATAAACAAAATAACGGACAAAAATCATATGTTTATATCAACAGATGCAGAAAAAGCATTTGACAAGATACAACATCCAATTATGATGAAAACACTTAATAAAATGGATACAGAGGGAACGTATCTCAACATAATAGAGACCATATACTACCAACTGTTAGCTAATATCATACTTAATAGTGAAACACTGAAAGCGTTTCCTCTAAGATCAGGAGCTAGACAGGATGGCCCCTAGACAGTAACCCCCAGCACTGTTTCTAAATAAGGAGCCAGGGCTTACTGTCTTCAGTGATACAAA